CGGGTTTAAGATCCCAGGCTCCTTGAATGTCCAGCCAGCGTCCTCCCAGAGCCCCGCCCACTCCCACCCAAGACTCCGCCCCTGCCCCGCCTCCGTTCTCCCTGAGCCCCGCCTCTGGGCCGCCCAGACCCCGCCCCAATAGGTCTGGGCCCTTCTGGAGCTCCACCCTCGTCAGCCTCAGTTCTGAGCCACGCTCCTCCTCCTTGGAGCCACGCCCCAGACTTCGTTTCCCTCCTCCGCTCACCAGCGGGCCTCACTCCTCCTCAGACCCTGTTTCTGGACCACGCTTTGGCTATACCTCCAGCCAGACCAACCCCACCTCTGAGGCACCCCCACTCTCCATCTCCCTTCCACCTGCCATCGCAGCAAGCGTCAGTCAGCATTCCTCCAGAGGCTCCAGATGAGCCAACTGGCAGTGCTGGTGATGGAAGTGTGAAGACCCTGGACCTCCAGTCTAAGGCTCAGAACCAGTGGAGTCCCTCCCCAGGGATGAGCGGCTGGGGATGAACATGAGCACATCAAGACCTGAGCGCCATGCCTGTTCCGTTTTGACTTTTCCTATCATAGCCCCTTTCTGATACCGACTTGGGCTTTCTCTGGTTTCCTTGGTAAGCTTGGACTCACTGGACAGGACAGATCCGGGTTTAGAGAAGCCTGGATCTTAAATGTTTAGATTCCACATTTATTCAAAAGTATTTATTTAGAACACATACCAAAAAAGCACAAAGTGTTGGCCATGGGATTCTCCTGTCCTGATTTGGTGGGGTTGAGCCAGGACTTTGCTTCACCCTGCCTTTGCCAAATGGCCACACACAGAGTTAAGGATCAAGTGTGGTTTGTAAGAATTGGCCAGCTGCCACAAGGCCTGGGCCCAACAAATGATGAAGAAACTAGTATGAATCCAGACGCAATGGTGAGCCCCTGTTATCCCAGATATTTAGTCTGGAGCAGGGGGATGTCTCAAGCCCATAAATACGAGGCTAACCTGGGCTGTAACATAGTGAGACCTTATCCAAGGGGTGGAGTGTTTATATGTATTGTAAGACGGGTGAAGAATCGAGCTGTCTGCCCAGGATCCCCAGTGTTGTCTTCCCAGTCACCAAACAGCAGTAAGTGGGTGTCCGATGAGTATTGGCTGAAGTCTGCCTCACACCACAAACCTGTTCTTGGCTAAAGAGTTGCTCTTGGCAGCAGTGTCTGCATGGGCCTGGTACCCAATGATGGTCTTTGAAGACAGGCCCAGACGCTCTTTGTATACATGCCTGGAGTAGAGACGGAAAGATGGCTCCCTGGTCCCAGCCACAGCCTCACCTGTTTTGCATGTCTTACTCATAGGTAAGACCAGCACCCACACAACCCCTCTGTGAAAATGAAGTCTGCTTTAGTTAAAGTGGTTTGGGTTTACATTCCGACCCCTTTTATACGAATGGGTAAGGAAGATGGAAGAGCCAGTATGGAGGGCTCCAGAGGTCTCCTTGCAGGCCAAGCCACACCCACCCAGCCCCCAGAACCCATGCAGGGAGGGCTCTCACCCGATGTGCAACACTCCTGCTTGGTCCTCTGCTTCACTTGTCCACACAGCAATCTTGTCCCCCTTGGTGCGGATGTTGACAACGGCTCCACAGACCTCCTTACTGTATTCCTCAAAACTCTCCCCAAGCAGGCATAGCAACTAGGCCCAAAAGGGGAATGGTAAGTGCTCTGGCTTGGGTACAGGGTCCACCCCACCAGCTCTGAGACCACTGCCTCCTGCAGGCCCACACAAGCACCCTTTCCACCACTCACCGTCTCCAGCCACAGACGGTCCAGTTCAATATGGCGCTGTTGTTTGGCAAGACTGAGCAGCCAGCGGCCACCCCGCTTGTTCCTGTTGTCTTCCCACATGGGCTGGATGCCTTCCTGTGGGGAGTGACAGATCAACTGCCTTCCTTTGTTTAAAGGGAAGCAGGCACCAAGTTCCCTCTGCACAAAGCCTTGTTGGTTCTGTACCCAGGCCTTAACTAGCCTTGCTTCTCTTACCTACATCCCCTCTGCACAAGCAGGTGCTGCCACCAATGACTCAGCCTCCCTCGAACCCAGGCCCCTTCCAAACCTCACAAGCCGCTGAGCCTCCCTCTTGTCACCTTTGCAACCTTATCTGTGTGCTTGTCACCTCTACTGAACAGGGTGACTCTGGGCCAGAATTTCTGTGAGCTAAGGTAGACATCCCAGGCATGGCTCTGTGGTCCCCAAACCTAGAGATCCTCTTCCTCCAGACTCAAGCATCCATAGCTGCCCACGCCCCAGTCATCCATGAGGGGAAAGCCCTGGAATGAGTCCCTTGAGCAGAGCCTACCTTGAACAGAGCATAGTCACAACCAGAAGAGAGCTTACTGGCCAGCTTGATATTGCTGTACATCCTGCAAAGACCCACACAGAGTTCAAGTTCAAGGCTTCGCAGCACAACGGCTCGCCTGACCCTGACTTTCTAGCTCCTCATCAGAACTAGCTTCCTATCACCTGCTTCCTTTCTCCCAGGGCCGCCCACCCCTCCACACACACCACCTGGGCCCTGCTGCCTGGAACCCCTTCTCTGGAAGCCTGACCCAACTGAGAAAGCCTGATGAAGTCCACACCAGCGAGGCATTCCAGCTGGGCATCCTTCCTGAGTTTATGTGGCCTTCCTCGGCTCTCTTCTCTGGCACATAAACGCTAAAGCAGCAGCCTGCTCCTCACTATGGCTGAGCCAATTTACCAGAGAGAAAGAAACCTGCTCAGGGTCACAGGGCCACAAAGTAGCAGGCTTCACTCCTACTACTTCTGGGGTCTGAGGTTCTCCCTAAACCCAAGAAGCTTTTTTTTTGGGGGGGGGATCTGGCCAGAACCTGACAACCCCCAGCTCCCAGCAAATACTAACAAGCCCCTGAGAAGGTGGCAGTCTATGGTGCCTTTGACCCCCAGCTCAGATCTCCTCCCCCCTCCCCCCGCCCAGGGCACTCACGCCCAGAAGTCCTCCACGGTGTTAAACTTGGTGACTGGCTTCAGATTGTCCTGCCAGGGCCGGCTTCGGTCATTCTTGAAGAACCACAGAACCCACCTGGGGAATGGGGAAAGGAGGGTCAAGGTCCTGTGTCCACCTCTGCAGCACCTGGGTTGGCAGGTGTGTGAGGTAGGGGTGAAATCTGGGACACACAGCCCTAAAGACATGGGAAGTCACTATCCCTCAAGGCCCGGTGAGAGGGTATTTAAAAAATCTGAGGGCTGGAGAGATGGCTCAGAGGTGAAGAGCACTGGCTGCTCTTCTGGAGGTCCTGAGTTCAATTCCCAGCAACCACATGGTGGCTCACAGCCATCTATAGTGGGATCTGATGCCCTCTTCTGGCCTGCAGACCTACAGGAAGGCAGAGCACTCAGATAAATAAATAAATAAATAAATAAATAAATAAATAAATAATTTTTTTAAAGTCCACTGAGTGGGAGGCAGGTTCAAGGGTCTAGGGTAGCTCAAGTGGCATAGCCCCTGGCCTCACACAGGGCTGGGACTCTGTGGCCCCCCTACCTGTACTGCAGGGGGTGTTTCTGTTTCAGGACCTGGAGCGGACATTCTCTGTGGCCCTTCCTCCTTGGAGTCCGAAGGGGTCCAGGAAGGTCTCTGACTTCTCTTGGGAGGACCTCCACACCGGCTTCGGATGGCTTTTCTTTCTCTGCCTCCTCCTGCTGCTGCTCTTCAACCTCAGCTTTGATTGTCTGACCAGAGTAAAGAATAAGAGTGAGCCAGAGCTGGGGCAGTGGTACCGCACCCCTTTAATCCTAGCACTCTCGGGAGGCAGAGGCAGGCAGATCTCTTTGAGTTCGAAGTCAGCCTAGTCTCCAGAGTGAGTCCCAGGACAGCCAGCTACACAGAGAAACCCTGTCTTGAAAATTAAAAACAAAACCAAAACTGATCCATAAGTTCTGGCTCTGGCTGGCCCCAGCTAGTCAATGGCTCTGGGATAGGCAGGTGGGTAGACTCACAGCTTGTGAAGTAGCCATGATGGAAGTGGCCATGACAAGGATCCACCAGCAACTAAGAGGCCCACAGGGCCTTGCTTTTAACCCACCAGAGAACCCAGTCCCACCTGGGCAGACAGGTGGGTGGAGGAGTTTGTGAGGACTGGGTAGGGTGGGATGGGATAGGATTTACCCGAATCCTTCAGTTAGAAGGTAAGTGCTGGTCACCCTGCACAGCTGTGACAAGAAAAGCCATCCTTGGGCAGTGGGTAGAACTCAGACAACTGAAAATTAAGAGCCAACATTTGGGGTCTGCTCTTAGGGTATTTGAGACCTACTGAGGGAAACCTGACTTTGAAGCAGGCTGCTGTTCTACAGATGACAAAGGTAACAACATTTATATAACACCCCCGCCCTGGTTCTGTTTACACCTTCAGTTTACGACTTTGATTATCATACAATGGCATTTATCTGGCTCTAGAAGCAACCGAGTTGTTTTTGTGTTTTTGAAGGCACTGAACGGTGTAACGCATGCCTGTAATCATAGCATCCAGGCCACAGGAGCAGGAGGATCAGGAGTTCAAGGCCAGTCTCAAGGACTGAGGGAGTTTGTGGCTGGCTTGAGCTATAAGAGAGCTCGCCTTAACAAAACAAAAGGGTAGCCATTTGTTAACGTTTAAAGACGGGCAGGCTTTTGTGTTAAAAGCCACACTCCTAATTTGTCCTGAGCATTTGGAGGGTTTGGCACTCTGAGGCCCTCCACCTTGTAGGGCCCCATCCACTATGGGGCTACCCTCCTTGTCTCGTGCCAAGAACATTCATCTGAGTGTCTCTCCCCTGGGCATCGCTGGTAAGGCACAGTGCCAGAGTCCCAGCATGTTTAAGTCCTTCCCTGAACTGATCCAAGTTACTGAACCCATGGAGGCTCATTTCCCCCGGTTTGCAGACCAGGAGATTGATCTATGACGGAGATCGATATAGGACTCAGAACTGCACATGAGGCCCAGAGAATAAGGCCTGGCTCGCTGCTCAATGGATAGCAGGTGAAAGCTCTGTCCCAGCAGGGGAGGGGACCAAATGAGAAGATAAGAGGCTAAGCTTTGCAGCCTCCATATTCTAAAGGTTGCTCAACCTCCTCTCACAGAAGGCACAGGGTGGAATGATGAGCTTGAGGCTGGCAGTCTGCCGTTGTCAGCCCATGCCTCTAACCACACCACAGTACTTGAGCCACGAGGCTAGGTACTTACTGGCTTGCAATAATGGGCTCCAAATGAGCGGGTGGAGCTGAGAAGCCCCGGTTTCCAGCCCAAGTTGCACTCTCTGTGCTGGGGTCTGGTGGGAACAAGACTCCTCTGTGACCTTGAGCACAGACCTCAGTCCACACCAGCACAAGCTTCTGCCAGAAAAAATGTAAGGGCTAGGAGGAGGAAGTCTAGGGTCTGACCTGGGCCTTAGAGCGGGTCTTATATGCATGATCAGAATTGGCCGCTGGGGGCTAACACTGTGGCTCAGCGGATAAAGTCACTTGCCTCCAATCTCCTGAGCACTGAGTCCCTGCAACCCAGATGGTAGAAGGAGAAAATCAGCTCCTTTAAGTTGTCTTCAGATCCCACATGGTGGTGCACACGTACACACCCACGGGCACGCACATACTGTAAAAAACGTTTTTATTTAAAGACTACTGGGGTCCTGCTTCCAGGTTTCTGGTTGCTTAGGTCTGAGTTCAACCTGCAGATTTGCATTTCCAGTTAGTTCATTTGGGCTCCCAGTCCAGAGGATTCAGTCCTTTGTGTCTGGGAAGGCACAGCCCACATGTTTGTGGCTCAGAAGCAGAGAAAGGGGACCGTGGGCGCTCAGCTGGCCGCCTCCTTTTTCCTTTTTCTTCATTCTGTGACCCAAGGCTAACCCACAGAATGGTGCTAGCCTTCCCCTGTCAGACAAGCCTCTCTGGGAATGACTTCACAGACACACTCAAGGTATAACTCACTAATGCTCTAGATGCTTTTTAATCCAGCTTAATAGGTAATGAAAATTAACTGCCACAAAGCTGGGTGTGACAGCACACACCTTTAATCCCAGCAGAGGAAGGAGGAGCTTGAGTTTGAGGCCAATCTACAGGACTCACTCTGAGTGAGTTCCAGGACAGCCAGGGCTACATAGAGAGACCCCCGGGGAGGGTGGGGGGACTAACCACCACAGCCAGGTTCTCAGACAACTGCTCAAGACTGTAGCCATGAAAATAATTAAGCGGACACCCACCAGGATGTTAATGTGTGCCATTTAGAAGAGGCAGCAGAGAAGATGAATAAGTGATATGTCAAGGGGTATTGGAAGACAAGAGGACCACAGTCTGCCTTCCTGTTGCCATATAACATATACCGCAGCCAGTCCTCGTGAGACTCGAATCGTGAGAGTAAGAATCATTCACTATGCTTGCAGACCTGTAGTACCCGTGGGATCAGCTCAACTCAGCTCCAAAGCAAGATAGGCTAGGCTGGCTCACAGCTTGGGGCTGAGGGCATCTGTCACTCACATGGGGTAGCTAGTGCAGCTGTCAGCAGGAACCTCAGCTCTGTGTGGCTTCTCCATGTGCTCAGCTTTCACAGTGTGGTGGCCAGTCCCCACGGGTTCCCATGGCAAACATTCCCAAAGACAGGAATCAGACGTTGCCAGAGCCTTCACGTTAGGTCTGAAACCTGGCTCACCCTTAGGCCTGCTGTGTTCCCCTCAAGTGCAAGGATGTAAATTCAAGGCAGGGATAGAGCTCTTCAAGGGCACTATTGGATGCTCAGACCCAGGCAGCCTTGGAGGAGGTCCAGGCAGGGACAATGCTATGGACCTGTATTTGATGGACCAAGGGAGATGCTGTCTCCAAGGCTGGGCATGCTCTCAGCTGCAACAGAGAGTGACCAGGCCTCTCCCTGGCACAAGGTAGCTTCCAGGCATGACCCAGGCCCAACAGCACCTTCTACAGCTCCTGGAGTCAGGGCTTGTGGTGGCTAGGAAGAAGCACTGAAAGTCCCTGGACCTGCTGGGAATCTGGCTCTTTGCCAATGACAGCCTAGTGACCAGCTAAGCAGGGTTGACAAGCTGGAGCTCTTGAATCCCAGCACGCTTCTGAAATTTTTTTCTTTCTTTTTAAAACTTTTACTTTATTTGTACTTACACTTTTGGTCAGTCAGTACCAAGCTATGGGGCTTTTTGATTTTGCTTTTGTTTGGAAAGCTTGAGCCACTTGGTATTCTAGTCCCTCCATGATAGAAACTTTCAACATTTGTGGGTCACGACCCTTTGGGGTCGCATAGCAGATATCCTGTATATCAGATATTTATGTTATGATTCATAACAGTAGCAAAATTAGTTATGAAGTAGCGAGGAAATGTGTTAAAGGATTGCAGCATTAGGAAGGTTGACAGCCAAGGCTCCATGGTAACCACCCCTCTCTTTTAGAGTTCCTCATCCTTTGTCAGTTTGCCAGTCATGGTTTGTAAATAAGGACCTTGGGGGGCGAGGGAGGGGGCAGCCTGTCCTAGAATCAAGAGTCTGTGTGGCAGTGCAGGAAGAGGCATGTGATACCCGCCCTGGACCACAACACAGTCCTGTGTGTCTGGATGGGTGACCGACCCGTCATCACAAGGAGGATCATGCCCCTTGATGAGTGTGAGTCTGCAGGACTGTCAGAAGTGCAGTGAGGGAGGGGGATTAGGGGACCTCATGGATGGCTCAGCAGTTAAGAGCACAGCTGCACTTGCAGAGGGTCCACATAGCTAAGACCCATCTGTAACTCCAGTACCAAGGGACCCAGTGCCCCCTTCTGGTGGTGCACAGACAGACATGCAGGCAAAGCACTCATACACGAGATATAAATAAATCTTTTTATAAAGGCATGCCAAGTATATTTTTAAATACTTTAACTGCTTTTTTAAATTAAAAGACGTATTACACTAGGGGTGGTGACACACACCTGTAATCCCAGCACTTGGGAGGCAGAGACAGGCGGATCTCCGTGAGTTCAAGGCCACCCTGGCCTACAAAAGGAGTTCCAGGACAGCCAAAGCTACACAGAGAGACCCTTTCTCAAAAAACAACCAAACAAACAAAAACATTGCATTACATCTATTTAAATTCTTTTACCATTTACTGATTGGTCTTTGTTGTTGCTCTGTGTATGAGTGTGTGTGCATGTGTATTTTAGCTTCTTTTACAATGCTGTGAAGAGACACTATGACAAAGGCAACTTATGGGAAGCATTTAATGGGAGCTTATCCTTTCAGAGTGTGAGTCCATGATAATCACATGATAATCACAGCAGGGGGCAGGGCAGCAGTCAGGCGCGGGGCTGGAGCAGTCACTAACAGCTGACGCCTAATGCTCAAGCATGAAGTGAGAGAGGGCTAACTGGAGTGGCCTAGACTTTTGAAAACTGAAAGCCCACCCTCAGTAACACACCTCCTCCAACCAGGCCACACCCACTCCAACAAGGCCACACCCTCCTAAGCCTTTCCAAACAATTCCACAACTTGGGACCAAGCATTCAAATATATGAGCCTATGGAGGCCGTTCTCGTTCAAGCTTCCACTGTGTGTGTGTGTGTGTGTGTGTGATGTGTACGTGTGCACGTGGGCACGCTCACGCACACACATACATGCTCGTGCATCCACAGGTGGGTCACAGAACAGCTTGGTGGAGGCAGTTCTCTTCCTATCATGAGGACTTCAGAGACTGAATTCAAGTTGTCAGGCAAACAAGCACCTTTATCCACTGAGGCATCTCACTGGCCCTACAATTTTTTACTGATTTATTTATTTGTAGTGGGTAGTAGTGTACGTGAATGAGCATAGCACACACATGTGGAAGTCTGAGGACAGCTTGCAGCAGTCAGCTCTTCACCGTGTGGTGCTGAGGACCAGACTCAAGTCATCAGGCTTGGCAGCAAGCACCTTCACCTGCTGAACCCCTCATGGCCCCTCTCTCAAGTTTTCAAATATAAATAAGTTTTAAAAATACCTGGTAATTGTTGGTATAATATTACTTTAAGGTGTGAGACTTTTATTTATGCTGCGTTTGTTTAACTCTGTGAAGCTGTGTTTCTGTGCCTGTCTAAAACACCTGATGGTCCTGACAAAGAGCAGAAGGGTCAATAGTGAGGAAGGAGCAAGGATAGGTGGGGCCGGCAGGCAGACAGGATAGAGGAACAAATGAGGGTTGAGGAGGAACGAGAGGGGGGAGGAGGATGTCAGGGCCAGCAACCCAGCCACCCACAGAGTACAAAGAAAAGTAAGATATACAAAAGTAAGAAAATAAGCCGGGCGGTAGTGGCGCACACCTTTAATCCCAGCACTTGGGAGGCAGAGGCAGGCCGATCTCTGTGAGTTCGAGACCAGCCTGGTCTACAAGAGCTAGTTCCAGGACAGCCTCCAAAGCCACAGAGAAACCCTGTCTCAAAAAAAACCAAAAAAAAAAAAAAAAAAAGTAAGAAAATAAAATCCCAGAAGGAAAAGGAAAAACAGGTTAATTTAAGAAAAGCTAGCTAAAAAACAGCCAAGCTAAGGCCAGGCATTCCTAACTAAAAATGTCTCTGTATGTGATTTATTTGGGAGCTGGGTGGTGGGCCCCTCAAAAAAAGCCAAAAAAGTAAAGATAAAAGATTCACACAACGGGCTGGAGAGATGGCTCAGTTAAAAGCACTGACTGCTCTTCCAGATGTCATGAGTTCAATTCCCAGCAACCACATGGTGGCTCACAGCCATCTGTTATGAGATCTGGTACCCTCTTCTAGTGTGCAGATATACATGGAAGCAGAATGTTGTATTCATAATAAATAAATAAATTATTTTAACCTCCTTGTGTGATAGAAATTCCTCAGCCACCACAGCATCCTGTCTCTTTCTCTTACACACACACACATACACACACACACACACACATGCACTCTTCCAGGAGAAGAGTGCTTGGCTTCTAGGAAAAGCTGAGAGATGGAGCAGTTGACGTGAGATTTAGTAAGGTGGACATCACCGTTGATGCTGACAAGAGGAACACGATCCCAGTACGATCCCAGGACCGTATACAGCCCTGTTCACTCATGATCTCGTCTCCCTGCTAGAAAGTGAGTATCCTGGGGCTGCTGAGATGGCTCAGAGGTTAAGAGCACTGACTGCTCTTCCAGATGTCCTGAGTTCAATTCCCAGCAACCACATGGTGGCTCACAAACCATCCATTATGAGATCTGGTGTCCTCTTCTGATGTGCAGATATACATGGAAGCAGAATGTTGTATACATAATAAATAAATAAAATCTTTAAAAAAAAAAGTGGGTATCCCCTCATCTTGTTCTCAGCTGAAGCCATTATGCCTGGCACCCAATGGACACCCAGGAGACACTGAGTACAGGAAAAGATGCCAGCGACATATTTGTGGGCAATACTGTCAACTGACCTAGGAGACAAACCCTCATGCCTGTCTGTGAGGAAGTGTCCAGACTTGGTTAATTAAGCTAGAAAAAGGCACCTTAAACGTGGGCAGCACCATTTGCTGCGCTGGTTCAAAAGAACTGAACAACCGCATCCACCTCCTTGCTGTGGACACAATGTGGCTGGCCACCTCACACTGCCGTTGCCGTGCCTTCCCCACCACGATGGACTGTACCCTTGAAGTAACTTACAAAGTAGAATTTTAGTCCGGCATGGAAGTGCATCCCCTTAATCCCAGCAGTCATGAGGCAGAGGCAGGCAGATCTCTGCAAGTCTGGTCCAGTCTGGCAATACAGTGAGACTTTGTCTCAAAGCAAACAAAAAACACATCTTCTTGTTTCCTGCAGTATTCAGTGCAAACTCTTTATCTCTGTCTCCCGACTTCTTATCTCTTCTCCCTCTTGGCAGGCACACCCTCCCTTACTCCTCACTTTACTGGCATGCAGAATTCTGAGTGCAGACTACAGAAATCCTGCAGCGCATCTAAGGCACCTATGACCAAACACCAGGCCACTCCGTCTCTGCAGCCTGGAGTGACACTAAACCCCCTGCTGAGTGATCCGGCAGCCTGGAATGCCGCTGAACCCCCTGCTGAGCAGGCCCTGAGGACTTTCAGGACACCAGGGTTCTGGACAGAGTCTCCCAAGCTAGGGAAAATAATCAGACAGCATACACACACACACACACACACACACACACACACACACACACAGTGAAGAAACAAAAGCCCAACCCTGAGCCTGCCCACTTTGTGCCCAGGAGCAATTCAGTTCCTGGCGTTGTGGCTGTCGTCCTGTGTTTCTCTGGCTGTGGATGTATACAAACAACCCTTGGTATTCTCAGAGCTTGAGTCCAGGACCCACGGCAGGCAGTGGAGTCAGGAGATGCTCAAGGCCTCATGTGTAATGCTATGGCACTGCACCCAGGCCAATCTTCCTGGAGGACTTCTAAGGCCTGATGCAGTGCAGGGCTGGCAACTATTGCTTAAAAGGCAATGGCAAGGAGATTGTATGTGTTCAGCAGCATAGATAGCATTTGCTTTCACAAATCTTCTTCTTGCTGGGCGTTGGTGGCGCACGCCTTTAATCCCAGCACTCGGGAGGCAGAGGAAGGTGGATCTCTGTGAGTTTGCGACCAGCCTGGTCTACAAGAGCTGGTTCCAGGACAGCCTCCAAAGCCACAGAGAAACCCTCTCTCAAAAAACAAACAAAAAAATTTCTTCTTAGTTACAATCTGATTAAAATTTTTGTATTATGCTTGTATAAGTGGGTCTGCTCACATGCGCACACTGCCTGTAGAGGCCAGAAGGTCCCCTGGAGCTGGAATTACAAATGGGGGGGAGTGGCCTTATGTGGCTGCTGGGAACCAAACTCTGGTCTTCTGGAAGAGCAGTACACTCACTCAGTTGCTGAGCCGTCTCTCCAGCTGGTCTTCTTGATCAGTTGTTGGTTGAATCTAAGGATGCAGAACCCTTTGATAGGGAAGGGAACTGTATGTGTATATTTGTACTGAACATGTCTGTATTTAATGCATGCAGCATGTGAAATATACATATAACATGTACACACTAGTGCTTATATATAACAAATACATATTGACATACAGAAAACTGTTCTTACATATAACTTGCTAAATATGTATGTATGTAATGTAACTTTCTATGTATCAAAGTTAGCTACAAGCTTTTCATTAACGCCACGTCTTCCTTCATTAGTGTCTTGGTCACACAGGGTCTGGCTCCTGGCTCCTCTAGGAGAACGTTTAGAACATTGCCATGTGTTCTACAATGGCCATCCCTGCACACACACGTGTCAATGTGCTCATAGGGATCTACAGAGCGAGTCCCTGGAAGGGGAGCTGCTGATCCAAGAGGGGTGTGCGATCAGACTCCTGAGAAGAGCTGCCAAAGTGGCCTTCTAAAACCTCTGCCAACTTACAGTCCTGCCAGAGCCGTGAGCGTTTCCTTGCCCATGCCCTGCTGTCTGCAGTTGGCACACCTTACCTCATCACCCTCTCTCAAACACCCCGCACTTCTGTCCCCACTGTCTTTGTCTGTGTTATATCCGCAGCTTAAAACACCCTTCCGAGCTTGCTCCTGAGGGAAAATCTTACCCATCCCGGGAACCTCACATTAATTCTCCTTTTCACTTATTCCCCTGACTCCCTGAACTGGCACGGTCCCTTTCATCGCGAATTCCACACCTGCATGGACGTAATTCCATCATAGAATGGACTGGGGTCCTACTGTGCGTCTGGCATCCCCACCCGTAACTGTACTCAAAGGTCTGTGTCCGCTTCTCTTCAGCTCCCGTTCTAGGTCGCACTGCCTTCTGACTGTGCCCCGGCCTTTGTACTTGAAGATCCTGCCCTGTGGGTGACCCTCTCCTGGCTTGGCCTACCTTGCTGTTTCTCCTGGATCTCTCTACTCCAGGTCATTTCTTCGCAGACGCCTTCCCTGTCTTCCTATCACCTCTCACAGTGAAACAGCCCTGTTTAGTTTAAGTGTGGATGCATTGGTTTTGTTTCCTGCCTCTCATCTCTGCGTGGGCATCTCCCTGGGGTCAGAACCTTGGTTCTCTTCCCCAGTCGCCCCCCACCCCACCCCCGCCCCTGAACCGCGCATCTAAGCGCCCTAGACAGGCTCCGGCTCCCTCCTTGCTTTCTCAGAAGAGGGGCCTACCTGGCGATTCAAAGGGCTAGCTGAGCAGTTCAGGATCCCACCGTTACTAACAAACGCAGCTGGGGTTCCAATCTACCTGAACTCCCCAGCCAACCGCAGCATTTCTTCCCACTCCTCTCTCGCCGCATTGCCCCCGCCCACGCTCCCCAAAGACTACGTCCCAAGCACCAGGGTCCCCGCCTGCACCAGAGGCCCTCCCCTGGAGGTCGCTTGCTCTGGGGAGATGTCATCCTCCCCGCCCCCTGTCAGTCAGGCGGAAGGGGCGGTGCGGCCACCAGGGGGGGTGCTGAGCTCAGAGCTGCCGCAGCGCCCGAGCAGGAGCCGGAGCTGAGCGCGGGAGTAGCATCCTTGGTGGCAGCGCACCCAGGACCGGAGCACTGCTACGCTCCTGCTCAGGGCGGGTGACGCGAGCGACCGACCACGGCCGGACCCCGCTGGCCCCGAGCCCAACCCTGCCCGGCATAGCCCAGCCCCGGCGTCTGCTCGCCGCCGCCGCCACAGCTCCGTCCCCAGCCCGGCCCCGAAACCCAGGTGAGGAGCAAGGAAGGGGGTCGAACTGAGGGTCCACAGGGACCGAGGGTGAGGTGAGGAAGGGAATCGAGACTGCATTTGGGGGAAACGCGGGCACAGAGATAGCAGGCGCCGGGCAGACGCGGGCAGGTGCGCCGCAGGATGCGAGTGTCCCTCCTCTCCGCTTGCTACAGTCGGGAGGATGTGCGGACGTGCGCCCGCGCCCGTGTGTCCGAGGGTCCATGCGCTTCTGAACGTGTCCTGTGCGTGTGCACGTGAGCATGTCCATGGTGTGTGTTTGTGTGCAGACCGTGTGACTGCCGTGTGTGCAGACAGGCCCGGGTGTTCGTGCTGAGCCCAGCTTCCGGTTCTGCGGGACTGCAGGTTGCAGGTCTCCGGATAACCGAGGTGGCGGCCCCTCCCGCGTCCCGGCGTTTCAAGGACGCCAGGACTCACCGCAGCATGGCCCTGAGGCCTAGAGCTGGGGAGTGCAGTGGGTAGGAGGGGGGTCTGGGCCCAGAAGCGCGCCAATTCTCAGGGATGGAGGGAGGGGACACCAGATCCACCGGGAGGGCCAGAGTGAGGGTGTGGAGCCAGCTCCTGGCACTTGTGTGTTCGCCCTCCCCAGGCCGCCAGGATGGACGTGTTCATGAAGGGCCTGTCCATGGCCAAGGAGGGCGTTGTGGCTGCAGCCGAGAAAACCAAGCAGGGGGTCACCGAGGCAGCAGAGAAAACCAAGGAGGGCGTCCTCTACGTCGGTGGGCAAGAGGCTGCAGGGCTGGGTGTCTCCTGGGGGTGTCAGGAAGGGTGCTCAGAGGAATTGAGGGGTCTGGGCTTGGGAATATGAGTCAGCAGATGGACGAGATCAGTAGGGGTCACTGGGGACACAGCCAGCTTGTGGAATTGACCAGTGGGAGGCGGGAACAGGGTGGGAGCCAGTGAAGGTGGTGTTCAAATGAAAGACCCATGTAGTGAGCTCATCAAAGTTCCCTTTTTCTTATCCTGTCATCACTATTAATAGTGACCTGATGGGGAACCTTTTCTTAAGGCCAAGAGCTGTGAAATGCCACAGTATTTAATGCTCCTGGCCTTTTTCCTACAGCTCAGGGACACTGAGGCCCTCTGCTAACCACTCTGCCCAAGGTCATACAGCTGTGAAAGCTTGAAGCCTGTCTGGCTCCTGGTCCTGCGGATTCCCCTCTGCAGAGATGGGAGTCTAAGGCCTTGGTGGGGATAAAGGCCTGCTGAGACACCACTGGTTGCTGGCCATAGGGCCCAGTTCTTTCCTTTGCTGAAGCCACCTGAATGGTTTACCTCCCTCCGCAGTCCCTCCAGTTCATCCTCCTCTCAGCTGCCAGCTGGTGTCAGGACAAAGGCCAGGAGGTTAATGTCTCTCACCCAAAGTGTGAAAGAACTTTGTGGGTTATTTGCATAACGAGGGAAAAGGCTGGAGATAGAAGCTAGCCCACTTGTTTTGGAGCTCACATGGTGGGCCGGGACTTGCTCTTGTAGAAAAGATATGAAAGAGCTGGATCATTTGCCCAAGGTCAGAGTAAATTTGGATTGTGATCATTAAAAACATACCGTGTGCCAAGCATTGTGTGGATGCTGAGCTGTGACGATGAAAGGGACAGCATTGCAAACTTCTCATGGCTACGCACAGCATTTCAGTGATGGGTCTGGCATCGGGTAGCAAGTGTGGGAACCATTTAGGGGAACAAAGCCAAAGGGGAGCTACCTGTAAAGGTCGTCCGTTCATGCATGCATGCATGCGTGCGTGCGTGCATGCATGCGTGCATGCAGGATCAGCCCTGAGCACTAAGGAGCCCAGAAGGCAGGAAGGCAGGATACAGCAGCCATAGATACAGCCTAGAAAGCAGAGGGCAGGAGTCATGGTGAAGGATGGGCTCAGGTTGGTGGGCAAGAGCCAGTTCACAAGAAGACTTGCATGTCTGGCTGGAGCATCCTCTAATTACCATTAGATGCTATAAGGGAGAGGCTGACGTGATCTGGCTGGTTCAGAATGGTCCCTCCAACCTCCAGGGGCAGAGCAGTTTGCAGGGAGGCCAGGAAGCATTGCCACCTGAGACAAGAGCCGTGGTAATTAAGCCCAGCCTTGAGCCCACATCTGCCTAGCCAGGCTCTGGCCTCCTTTCTTCACTCCTCCCTCGTCTCTTTCACCTCTTAAACCCCTGGAACCCCAGTATTTTCTCTCTGCTAGTGGGCTGTGCCTCTCCAAGCCATGGCAGGCACTTCTAGCTGTCCCTTGCCCGGGAACCTCTGCACTGAGGCCTGAGTTCCTGTAGCCAGCCTATCCTGCAGCACCCCCATGGCCCTGCTTCAGGCTGCATTCCCAGCACTGCTCTTCACCATACCCAGTGTTGCTGGTACTCCGGTGCTTCCACGCTTTTGGTTCCTCCTCCCTAATCTCATTTTAGAATATCCATGTGTTCCCCATTCCTCAGATCCCAGGCAGTGGTCCCCACGTCTTGCAGTCCCTGGGGTCTAAATACTCTTTCCCTACCATTCGAGGTCAGACAGTAAGCCAGGCCCAGGCTTTGCGCATAAAATGTGCAAACGATTTGCGGATGAGTGAATAGCACGCAGCATGACTCTCGTCCCCTCTGCCTCCAAATTCTCGCTGGCCGTGGTTTGGGGCACACGTCATGCCAGCCTGGCCTCACCCTTGGCTCCGGCTAACCCAGCCTCATCCTTTCTGTATCGGCCATAGCCAAGATTTGCCAGCCTTTGTCTGGCTGCTCAGTCTTCACGTGACAGATTGCCCGGACCCGAGAGGACACTCACCCTGTGGCAGAAAGTCTCCAGTGTTGCTCCGGCATCCTTACGAAGACCCACCCAGTGTCACGAGTGCCTTCTGCAATCTGAACATCACCTTTACACTCATGTGCACCTAACATTCCCCACTTTAGTCAAAAGGAGGAACTAGCCCTTGTTCGGAGGAGACACTCGTGAGAGACATCCATGAGACATGCATGGGCACCAGGGGCGTCTTGCAAACGCATGGCTCTGTCCCTCCCAGCACCACTGCCTCCAGACTTGGGCTACACATTTGTGCAGTATCTGGGAGCAAGAGTTTCAAGTTGGCCGTGAATGCTCACTCAGCCACTGACTGACTGCAGGGCCCTTACTGAGCTTCTGTTTTCCAACTATGAAGAAAGAAAAACCCCTACACACACACACACACACACACACACACACACACACACACACACTGCTGCCCAGGCTGTAGAACAGAAGGAAGACAAGAGCTTTGCATTAGCCCTCAGCCAGTCCCCAGTGGGAGGTATGGGTGTTGGGGCAGGGGACCAGAAGGCCTGAGGAAATATGTGTAAGGATTGAGTGTATTTGGCATGGGGGTGAGAATTTTGGGATATGGGGGTCAGGGAGGCAGGTCAAGGGACCCATTGCTACCTGGGTCCTCTTCTCACTGCATGACCCCTGCATTGGGTTGGAATCTCTGTTCACTGTGCTTAAACTCCTTAAATGCGTGCCTCTTTCTTCCTATAGGAAGCAAGACCAAAGAGGGAGTGGTACAAGGTGTGGCTTCAGGTACCAGACCTGTCCTAGTGTTTTATGGGGAGGAGGGGCCTAGGTACTCCTGAGGCTTCTGTGGGGGGGTTGCCCCTGGGGAGGAAAGGCTCTTTCTGGGACACTATGTGGGGTCCCCTGGCACTGAACTGGCACCCCCACCCCGCCACTCCCTGCTCCAGTGGCTGAGAAAACCAAGGAGCAGGCATCACATCTGGGAGGAGCCGTGTTCTCGGGGGCTGGGAACATTGCAGCAGCCACAGGCCTGGTGAAGAAGGAGGAGTTCCCCACAGACCTGAAGGCAAGTGATCCCCCGCTACACACTGTGCATTCTGGGCACACATGCCCGCCACCATCCGCTCCACCTCTACTCCCCCAGCCTGGGGCACAAGCTTGCTTGTCTCCTTTCCGACAATCTGTGCTACCCTCAGCTCAGAATGCAGCTGTGGGGTATGTGTGTGTGTGCTATGCTCCCTGTGAAGGGACCCGGAATGGGCTGTGGTGCATAGCCCACTTACCAGCGTGATTCTAGATACTCCAGGCCACGTCTGAACACGCCGTGGTGTGTTCCTTCATTTCCTTTCATTGAATGTATGTCCACACCAGTGAAGACGTGTTCTCTGTGGCTCCACAGTGGGTGAGCCCCTGCATCCATGCTACCGAGGTAGTGAGAGAACACAGTATAAGGTCAGCCAGTGTGCATGATAGTGTCAGATAGTGTCAGTGAAGAAGGGGACCCTGTGATGGGGTAAAACACTACAACAGGACTATTTGAGCCAGGAGAGTTTCCCTGGGGAGGTGACATCCAAAGGATCAAGGAAAAACAGCCCTGAGGAGATATTCGGTTTTAAACAGGAGACACACAGGTCCTGAGGCAGAAGTGAGGGATTAAAGTCCACAGGTGACCTTATTGCTGCAGTTCTAGAGACCACACCTTTCTAGCAGCAGTGAACCTGTGACCTGTCAGGGCTCTGTAAGACTCTCTCTTATGGGACTGCAGAGATGGCCCAGCAGTTAAAAGCACTTGTTGCTCTTGCAGAGGACCTGAGTTAGGTTCCCAGCATCCACAGAGTGGCTCACAACCATCCAAAGGATCCAATGTCCTCATCTGGCCTCTTTAGGCACCAAGCCCACACAGACATACATGCAGACAAGCACTCACACATATAAAAATATATCTTTTTTAAAGACTGCTTTAACACCCCCCACACCCACACACACACACACCAAAAAGAAAGGCATTTTGGAAAGGGATCTCCCCAATGAAGGTAGCAGCCAGTTCAAGACACAAAACACCAGCAGCCTCTAGAATCCCTGCACTACGCTGCCTTTACAATCCCTTATCTTAGCCAGGCCTACGTGAGGCTGTGGAATGTGCCTCCCAAACATCTGCATCCCATGTACCCTCTTAGCTCCCTTCAGTCTAGGTCCTGCCTGTCCCCTCCCCCCAAGGGCACCTACTTCCCGAGTTGATCACTGCAAGCTGGTGGGAGCTTTTTCATCTCACGCACATGCCATCATGAAGAGTACATGCTCTTCCATATTCTGCTTTTCATAATCCAGTGGGACATAATCCAGTGTAAGCCGGCTATCGTTTGCGCTGCCATTCTCCATTCCCAATGGTCCATGTCCCACTGTGGTTAGGTCATGTGCCCAGGGCCATTCTACTACCTTGTTGTGTCCACTTCCAAAGGGCTCAGATGGCATTTACTTGGGACGGGGTTGCTGCAGATTGAGCCAAGGCCTTTAGCACGCTACACACATGTTCTAGCATGAAGCTATTCCCTGAAGGCCTCAAGCTGAGACTTTGAACGATGTCTTTCCTGGGTTCTGGTCGTAGCTGGGTAACTTGGGACAAACTAATATTTCTCATCTCTTTGGTCATCTCCACAAAGAGAGGAATGAGCTGTCATCCTCACTTACAGGAGATGTAAAGCCTGGACCCAAAGGTGTGCAGATAGACGATACTCCAAGGACCTGAAGCTCCCGGTGGGGCTAAGGCAACTGGAAGCACCAACTTCTCAGTACTACAGCTCCAGGGTCCTAGGCATGTGCCAGGCCACATGTGGCCTTCTACAGCCATGCATATACCATGTGTTTACATATATGTGCTCAATTGCAGGTGGCCAGCCATGTGTTTAGCAGGCCTCTACATGCATTACTCATTGGTCTGTGCCCATCTGGGCAGCAGATGCTGGGGGGAGGGGAGAGTCTTAGCTCACACATCCAAGCAACACCATGAGCTGTTGCTTCCAGCTTATCTTAAAATAGCTACAGTGAAGAAATCAGGCCAAGCTCAGCCCTGGGGGAGGGAGGGATGGGTGGAAAGCAGAGGAGAGAATGGCACCGAGCCCCTCTCCAGCCCCGTACCTGAGCCTGCAGCTCCCTGCTGCCTGGGAGGGGAGCTCCAGAGTTCTCTCCTGGGTCCTAGTTAGTCCAGCGGTTTGACTATGCGTAAACAGGAGACCCGTTTGCTGTGTCCCTGCCTATTCAGTCTCAGAGACAGAGGTAGAGGCTGCCAGGTTCTGGGCTGAGGGGAGCACTCATCGCTCTCCATGCTCCTAACTCCCCCACCCCCATGATTGGGGGGAGGGGATTTACCATTCACAACTCTATCTCACTTCTCACTTTTAAGACCCCCAAATAAACTCACCTAAACACCTCTTGCACTGCCAAGCCACCCTAGTCTACCTCAGTCTTCCAAGCAACCCATAGCATACTAGCATGGGTTTTAAGGAGTGTCCAGCTGCCCACACAGCACTACTCTTGTCTGTTCACAGCCAGAGGAGGTGGCCCAAGAAGCGGCTGAAGAGCCACTGATTGAACCCCTGATGGAACCTGAAGGGGAGAGTTATGAGGAAACACCCCAGGTGAGGAGGCAACAGGGCTGGGGGAAGGGCTTCCCTGAAGACTGAAGTCATCCCGAGCTGGGTGGGAAGTCCCCAGCCTTATAAAGTTGGGCTGGGTGGACTTCAATAGCTGAGGCTCCAGGAGTAGGTGCCTAACAACACGCCTCAGACACAACCGCCTTGGTGTGTCTCAGCTGAACCCAACTCCAGGTTTCTCCTGGAGGGACAACCCTTGTTCCTCCTGGGTGGGGAGGGATCTGGTAGGCTGCACTTGACCATCCAAGTCTCCAACACTTCCTTTACGCTCTTCTCTCTTCCGCCCCCTCCCTCTGATGCAGGAGGAATATCAGGAGTATGAGCCAGAGGCCTAAGGGTCCAGGAGGGCCTCGCACCAGCAGCACAATTCTTCCCTCTCCCTGCCCCACCCCTCACCCCCCAGAGCCAGGGCTGTCCTTCTACCTTTCCCCCAAAACACGAGATCTTCCTTCGGCCCGAGGCACCTCCCCCGGGCCTGCGTTAGTGTCTGCCCTGCCCTTCCGTCTGTCTCACCTGCCCGCGTTCGTCCCTGAGGCGTGGACTGAAGTCGGGCAGAGGTTCCACTGGGAGCCCCGCCCCACCAGTGTTACCCCTCACCCTCCATCTGGTCCGGTGTCTGCGCGGTTGTAGCATGTTCTATGTATTTTTAAACCAAGATGGGAAAGCTATGGCTCCTTCCCCATCCCAACAGAGGTTCTCCGAGGGGCCCCCGGGCAGCCCCACTTCGACCCCTAAAATGTTTTTTTAACCCAAACCAGGAGCCAGGTTGTGCCATGCCCCTCCCTCAGCCCGCTCGGCCCGAGCGCGGGCGTCGTGTGTTGTGATTGTGGCATGGAGAGCCCCCCACCCACCGTGTGAGCGTGTCCCGGGTGGGCCGGCCCAGCCGCCCCCCAGCGTGTCCATGAATAAAGCCAATCTGTCTGTAGCTGGCGCCACCTGGGCAGGGCTGGGCTTCAGGGCCCCGGGCTGCCCCTCCGCTCTTTGGGCCCTGGAACACTCGGCACAGGTGCATGCATGGCTGGCTACCTGGGACCTCAGCTTATCCATCTCCTACTCCAAGCCAGCTCCTCACGACCCGCAGGGTGATGGCCCCCACTGCCACGCGCGCACGGGGACCGAAGTTGCCTGGGAGGCGGGAGGTTAGCATTGGGCGCCACCTCCTGGCAGGAAAATGGGTGCAGTGCCAGGAGACGCCAAAGGCCCGCACCAGCACGGTGAACACGCATGCACGAGCGTGCGCGCGCGCCAGGCTCTACGCGCGAGCCCCGGGGCCAGCATCAGGGCCAGAGCGCACGTGCAGACCTGCGCTCTCGGTCGCCGCTGCAGCTGCGCCGCAAAACGACGTCGCTAGCCGTTAGCAGGGCCCTCCCACTCCGGGCCTGTGCATACACATCTACGCACACCTGCCCAGCGCAAACAAACAGAACCGTTGGCGTCATCAGCCAGGAGAGGGCACAGTTCCCAGCAGGTGGTACTTTTCCGCTCCCAGAAGCGCCACTGCAAGTTCGAGATTTCAGCGGAGTAGGGGAGGGTCTGCAGGAAACGGGAAGCCCGCCAGACACCTGGAGCAAACCAGGATCAGCACTAGGGGGCCCCGGCGACTCAGAGTTAGGAGGGAACCTCGAAAAGACCCGCATTGCGTGCAGGCTCCGCCTGCAACCACGCCGCTTTTATTGGCACAGAGCGCCGGGCTCGAGGCTCCGCCCCCATTTGTGCGGCGTTCGCGTTTGCAGTAGAACCTGGTCCTGTCTGCGAACGCCGGGCAGACGCCCGATTTTACCGCAGAGAAGCCCCCTAAGCCTCGCCTTGACCTCCAGCTATGGAGCGGACAGCAGCTTGCTCTATTCAGTCAGCCCCTTTACCCTTTACCCTTTCCCGAGAGTCTTTGGAGGGAGAGGAGATGGCAAGTCTGGGCAAACAATTAACCCTGTGGGAGATCAGTGTGTTCTGGTCACCTGGGCCTTCACGTCTGGAAGCAGGAAGCCGCTAACAGATGGCCCTGTAGAACAGACTGGCGGGCTCGGATGAGTGCGAGCGATAGGAGCTGGAAACCCCTTTCTGCTCAGTTACACTACTTACAACCTGCTATCTTCTAGAACAGTGATTCTCAGCCTTCGAAATGCTTCGACCCTTTAATACAGTTGTGTGGTGGTGGACGCCCCCCCCCCAACCATACAATTATCTCCGTTGCTACCTCTTAACTGTAGTTTTGCAACTATTATGAGTCGTAATGTAATACTTTTGGAGATAGAAGTTTGTCAAATGGGTCGCGACTTACGAGTTGAGAACCATTGTTCTAAACACAACAGATGCATGGCCCTCTGGCTGAATTTTGGCCTCTAGATAGGGTTAATTTACCAGCACGCTATATTTTTCTAAGTGTGAATATCTGTGGTTTATGCACAGCTTTTCCAGCCCTGTCTGTCCTGATTTTATTACACCCAGTCTGCGGGCTTGGTGTGTGTGTGTGTGTGTGTGTGTGTGTGTGTGTGTGTGTGTATACCTGTTATCTTCAGCCCCAGATCCCCATTTTTAGATGTCAAAACCAGGTTTACCATCTGGCCTGTGAAGAGATTTATTTCCTCCTTCTCAAGTGCCAAATCCTACACCTGGCCCCACTGAGAATGATTCTACTCAGAGACAACATGCTCACCAGCCAGGGTCACCTTAAATGCATTCCAGGCACAAATCCAGAAGCAGAAGATGCCAACCCATGTCTGATGACTCTCTGTGTGTGTGTGTGTGTGTGTGTGTGTGTGTGTGTGTGTGTGTGTGTGTGTGCAGCTCATGGGGTCTGAGCTATTTCCCAAGCTCCCAATGCATCCCAAGCATGCATGTAGAACTTACTTTCACTAATTCCACTTAAAATCACCCTCAATGCTTCATTGCTACAACCTCAACCTACAAAGGAGGGAATAGGACTTAGAGAGGCAATAATGCTATGTGCCCAGGGTTGGTTGCTGAAAAATGTCAAAAGTCAGATTGAGCCCTATTCTTGACTCCAAAGGCCAAGACCTTTGGAATTTCCAAAACCTGTATTCTCTGGCTTTGAAGAAAGCCAATGAAAAAATATGGATAGCAGCAAATGTGGACAGTGTCATGGAGACCATAATGGCACTACATACATGTTGACCTGTGATGATTGCACCAGTGATATGGATGTACACATGTGCTATGCTTGCATCTGTGCTCATGTATGCTTGTGGTGTTGTCTGTACGTGTTGTGTGCCTCATGGTCTGGTCTTACACTGGAGAGCTTTTGGTAAGCCCTGATTTTCTGACGGCTCAAAGCTCAGGAATCACAACTCGATCAACAAGGCCAAGTGTGGAGTTGAACCAGGAGGATCATGAGTTTGGGGCTAGCCTGTGTTACATGGCAAGACCCTGACCTTCTCAGCAAGAAAAGAAAAGGAGATAATCTCGAGCTTTGAGAGAAACAAAAGGATCTGACAAGGAGTCTGAAGGGGACGGGCGATGAACAACAATAAAAGGTGGCCACGGAGCAGCGCCCTGGCTCAGCGGGGGAGGTTCTGACTGCTATCCACCGCTGATGAGCTGAGTCTGGTCCCTGGAACTCACACGGTAGAAGAAGAAAACTAACCTCAGAAAACTGTTCTCTGACCTCCGTGAATGTGCTTCCCTATCCCAAAAATGAATAAATGTAAAAAAAAAAAGTCATAAAATTTAAAAATAAGTTGGCCAGGTCAAGCTCCTCTGACGTGAGATGCAGCTGACACCTGAATGAAGAGGGTGCCAGGAGGCTATCTGGAGAGCGTGAGTGTTTCGGGTAGGTCTGCCTATGTGTGCGGTCAGGAAGGCTGAGACCCGCCAGGCCTCCCCAGGTGCCCTGGGATACCCACCCTCACCAGGGCTGATCTTGGCTTTCTCTTCCTGTGTCTGCATTCTTTCCTCCTAAGCATCTGCTCTCAACTCCACTTTGTGGAGATGAAGCCTGTTCTTTTCTGAGATTTGCTATAGCTCTGAAGCCATTTCTTCTCACTACCTCACCACGCTCGTCCTTGTCAGCACACTGGAGACTCCCGCTGAGCAGCTAGCTGGGGAACTGCCTTGTTCCCCTAACGAAGGGTTAGGGGCTGTCCCCATGTCCTTATCATATCATTTGTCTGTCCCCACCCCCAGCCCCAGTAATGTGGCTTCAGGGATTTCTCTGGAACTTTATTTTTGTTTTCTCTCTTCCCTATTTATAGCTCTCTCCCCTCCAAACCATCTCTGCATCCATATGGTTGCCTAGAAACAGGCTCCTGGGCTGAGGGTGGGGGAAGGCCAGACAGAGCACAGGCAGGGGGAGGAAGAGATGTTACCCACTTCCTGAGCAGCACTGCCCCCAGGCTTCCAAAAGCCCACTCTGTCCTCTGTCCAGAACCCGTAGATATTTGTTAAATGGCAAAACCAAGTGTGAAAAGCAGTAGCAGACCTCTGTGGAGTCCTTCACAGCTTTGAAAGGGCAGGGTAGTGATTTCACTAAAGTCTCTTAATAGCTTACCTTTACAGGGGCTGGGGCTCATTTTTTTTTTTCATATAAGAAAACAGGTTTCTGGGAGTAAAGTCTCCAAAACCAAAGCATTCTCCAGGGAAACTCCATGCTCTGGATTTGTCAGTCTTTGAATGTTGATCTATGACAATCAAAGATTGGAAGGCACAGACAATTCCATAATCCATTAATTACAGGGAAGTAAAAAGTTCTAATAATCTTCCATACTAGCCCATACTAGCCAAGCCTCTCACTACCCTATCCCTGGCCCAACTATGCCACACCTCAGTACCCTTTTGATGCCCCATCAGGACCAAACACATCTTTGGCTAGCATCACCTCACATTCCCCACCCACATGCCAGGTCCTCTGTTCACCTGCTCAGTGCTCACCTCCACAAGCTGGACCAAGGAGGCCTGAGCTTTTGCCCTGGGTGTATCATCTCACCAACTGTGTGATATTGGCCAGCTCATACAAGCTCTCAGAACTTTGGTTTTCTCATCCAAAGTGAGGGTGTTCATTTCCACCCCCAGATGAAAAGGTACTTTATGAACTGCAGAGTAAGACCAGTTAACTGGGAGTGATCAATTAGAATAGTTAATAGTTAATGTTGTCAGTGTTATTTTATTAGGGCTATGAGGTGGGGGAAGGGAGCCAAAATGAGCTCAGGGCTTAGAAGGGAGCTCCTGGCCCATTTCCAAGCAAAACAGTCCCCACTCCTGGTGGCATAAGGAGGACAGCTTCCTGGGAAGCCTCTTAAACACTCTGTCCCCTACTGTCCCCCCACCAGCTCCCTATTCCTCCCCAAAACACCAAGGCCCACCCCTGCCCTCCAAATAGGCTCTCTGGGCAGAAGGGGGAGGGGCTGTCAAGAAGCAGCTGGGCCATGATTCAGCCTGAGTCACCCATCCAAATCCTGGGCCACCCCAGCCTTCAGCTGCTAGGGGCGGGGCATTGCAGAGGGTAGGGAAGGGGTCTGTGTGGGCATCAGATTGTGAGCTCTCTCTTTTACTTTTTTTTTTTCAGTACTGGGGATTGAACCCAGAGCCTCGCGTATGCTAGGCGAGCATTCTGCTGCTGCACTCAGCCACAGCCTGTTTTTATGTTTACTTCTAGACAGCCAGGTTCTTGCTCAACTGCCCAGGCTAGTCTAGAACTCACTATAACCCAGGTTAGCCTCGAGCTCTCAAACCTCCTGTCTCCTGAATATCAGGGATTACATGCCTGTGCCACCACACCCAGCAAGTTGCACTCAGGCCAAGCAAGTTCTCTGGTGAGTCTTGGGGGCAGCATGGTGAGGGCCTGAAAGCAACACATGCACATACACGGGGAGCTGCATGTGGACATGTGTGAGCACACTACAGCCCCTGGCTCTGTCCCATAGTGAACAAATGCGCGCCCTAGTGAGCTAATAATTATCCACCTCAACTGCCTTTCCCTAAGAATGAAATAAGACGAGGTGACAACTGTGGAAGGAGAGGCAGGGAGCCTGAGGAGTGTGCAGTCTGGGTGCCCCTGGGTGAGCGTGTGAGCATGAGCTGCACGTGTGCCCCGAAGCACATGAATTTGTGCAA